GTATCTATTCGCGAAAAATAATTTTTGAGAGCAATTCGTATCTTAGAAACTATAATCTAGAAAATAATTTTCATTTTCAACCCATTATTTATTCGCGAAAAATAATTTTTGAGAGCGATTATTCGCATTCCAGAAACTACATATAAAGAGTAATTTTCGCTCTCAATCCACTTCTCTATTCGCGAAAAATAACTTTTCACAGTAACTCGCATTCTAGAAACCACCAATTGAGAATAATTTTCATTTTTCCGATCCAGTGTTTATTCGCGAAAAACAAAAACTTGAGAGCAACTCTCGCGAATATTTATCTGAATATATTAAAAAAAAATAATAATAAAATAAAATAAAATAAAATAGAAGGATGCACGCACGATATTTCCTCTCATTTTTACGTGATGACAAATGCGACTTTGCCACGTTCACATTGACAAAACGCGCGATATAGGAAGTGGTGTTGCGGCTTAACACGGTCTGCCACGCTAGTTTCACCGTCGAGGAGAAGGAAAGGAAGGGAAGTCGCGTTATAAATAAAGCGGCACCAGCTGCTACACACTGATAAACCCGAAAGGGTAGCCATGCGCGAAACAAAGGTTAACTTTGACGACCGCTAACCCTATACAACCGTATATAGGTTCCCCATACAAGCGTGATAAAGCAGCAGGGGGGGGAACGGAAACCGGATGTATCTTTCGATGTGTATTATAGACAAGCTTCCGTTCCACCATGGCAAACCACTTTTCAGCTTTTCGCCTTTTCTTCCTTTCCTTTTCCTTTTTCCTTCTCTACTCTACTCCCATCGAGTGTCCAATCAAAGCGTTCGATAAAACGGACGTTTCTCACAATCGTCTCACAAATTCTTACGCCCACTGAAATCTCACGAAAAAAGTGTCGATCGAATGTTACAACTCGTATAAAAATCTCGTATCACGGGTCAAACAAATCAGACAAGTTATCGGGATTGCGAGTAATTCTCGGTAATCAATTTAATGACGAATCAAATTTTCAATAAAAACAAATAAATAAATCGCGTGAATATAAATTCTGATGACTCGAACATACTGATTCGAGATAAAAATCACGAAACTTTCTTCCAATTCTTATTATTTTATCCTCCTCCGCCCGATTCCAAAACATTATTCCAAACATTTATTATCCAAATTTTTTTCTTCATCCGATCAAACGATATTTCTTTTCACTACTAAAAATCCTTCTCGAAATAATTCGCAACAACCCGTCCCACTTCGCCGCATAATCAAACACCGAGCATTTCGCCGGAATCTTTCTCCTTCTCGTTCTCAATCGAGAGAAGAATCATGATTCCAAGTAATTATCGAATCGCAGGAATTTTTGCCGCGAATAAAACAGGGGGAGGGGGGCGAAGGAAGGAAGGATTTTTCGCGGGTAGGGGAAATTCGAGCGGATGTGAAACGTTAAACTTTCGATTTATAACGTTTTCCAGCCAGACGCGTTAAATCCATCAAGTGCGCGTTTATCGGAAAATCAAGCAGTCATGTGCATCGGATGCATTGTTAGTGCATTAACTCGTACGTTCGAGTGGAAAATGGCATTACTTAGCCGCATTACCGCTGTATTATATTCGACGCCATCATTCCTCTTTGATCATGGCCGCCATGTGTGTTCCGTTTTTTCTTTTTCTTTTTCCTTTTTTTTTTTGTTCGAAAATTCGCTTTCCTTCGCCTTTCTCCTTATGAAGTAGAAATGTATTCTTCGTGGCCTTTTTTATCCGTTCGACGGTGTCCAGGAGGATTGGTTCGAAAATTGGAAATCTTTGGAGGGATTTTTTGTAATTCGAGCGAGAAATATCCTTTATCGTGAATATTTTTGAAAGGATTCAGGAAAATTTGAAACTTTTGAGAAATGTAATTTAAGTGGATTAAATGATGAAGCCATCTTTTTTTTTTTTTTTTTTGGCAAAGAATCATAAGGTGAAGTGAGTTTTCACGAATATTTACGAAATAAGAGAGTTAGAAAGAAAAAGGAAAAAAAAAGAAATGAAGTCGAGCGAAATGGTAAAGTAATCACTTGTTTCCTTTAAGCGAAAAATTTTAAAAGGGGAAAAATTTTCACAAAATTCCTTATTGTGAATATTTACAAAGATAAATTCGAATTTGTATCTCTCGCGATAAAGTTAAGGTTAATGAGATTTTATATTTTATAAAAATTACATTTCATTTTTTTATCTAATCTATTTCTAGTATTTCACTTTTAAATTTTCGAAACTTTATTTCTTTTTCTTTCTTTCTTTCTTTTTTTTTTTTGCTGACGATTGTAGAAAGGATAATAGAAAAAAGGAGACAGGGTAACAGTTAGGTGCGAGTAAAACATGGGAACAACAAATATATGTCGATACAAGTGGAACGGTGGATTCATTATGAATGAAAAGTTCTCTTGTTACCACTTCGATGTTTCAACAAAAATTGGAATAGGAATTATGCTTACAAATGGCGGGAATCATATTTCGTTCAGATTCTACTTCTCGTCACCGGGGTATTTTCTCTCTCGTTACGAATGGCGGAACTATTGCCAAGCCAAGCTCGTATTTCCTTCTCTTCGTCTTTTGTTACTACCAAGCAACGCAATTTCTTGGTTCGTTTCGCGTACAGGACTGTACGTGGTATCGTTTAATAAAAACAGATGGTGTCCCCTCCCCCCTTTTTTTCAAAAATAAAATATAATTTGAGGAAATAACATTTCATAAGCGCGAAACTTAATAGTAGTTATCGAATAATAAATAAATTTCTGTATCTGCAAAGTATCAACCCAATTTCTGCGATCACGATGAATGAACGTGCTGTTGGACAAAATTAATACAAGTGTGATTAGGAATAAACCGAAGAAAAACTTTATAAGAAAATCAAAATCCAAAACAGAAAGCAGGAATTCGTACCAATATAAAAATAATTATGAATACCAAATCCTACAAATTTCTACCCATTCTTACCCAAACGAGTACACTTACTTCCTACATCACTTAAAAATTAATAATAAAGCATAATCGAGAAAAAATCGAAGAAAAAATCCAATCCAGCAAAAGTTTATCCTAAAATAATTACCATACAAATACTAAACACTACAAATTTCTTCATTCAAACATCTACACCTCTATCAACCTTAAAAAATTAAATACAAAAGCATAA